GTGACGTCTACGATATAGAATTTAAAATTAACGCACTTGTCTTGTCAGGTTTTCACTCTCGAAATACTCTTGTTTGATATCCAGTTGATTATATTGCTAAGAAAAATTGAATCTCCCATGCTCGATGGGTGCATCATGTCGAATTAACGTACTTTCCGATAGATAATATATATATCGTCATATGAGGAATGTACAGAACAATTTTCACTCTTCTGTCTTCTTTTGTCCTACGGGTAATAGGCAGAAAGCTATGGAAAAGCGAGGAAAATCACTTATAAGTGATGACCGCCTTTTTTCATTTTTGTACAAGCGGTGGAGGTCAATCCATAGAATATACACACTGTTGTAATTCATAAGTAACGTGCAAAAGTCGGATTGGTTTCTTCGTTGAAAAACAGAGGTGGTCTCAGATCATGCTATAATCTGATCGTATCCTTTGACCGATATCAATACAAAACTGCTTGCAAGATCTTGCAATGTTTTGCTAAATTTGAATCATATAGCTTCCCTTTTACAGACATTGCCCGCCTAAATCGACATGTGTATACTTTATAGGGCTACCTAAACCTCCTTGCAGGTGCTGCAAACGTTTTGACAACGAATATATTCCTCATCTTTCGGCAGTGGACATAAAAATGAATGGATAATGGAGAAGTACAAGCGGAACGTATTTAAGTGGAGGCAAATACTAAGTAAAATGTTGTCTAAACGAAAAGTAGAAACAAGAGGATAAATAAAGGAACAAAAGTGAGGGATAATTGAAAAATTGCACTTAAGAAATCAAAGATAATGGTTAACTGAGTTGCACAAGTGAAGAAGAAGGCGCGGGCATTTACGAATTAAGAACTTAGAAGGGTCGGTGAGGGGGGAAGAGGGTTGATTAGGAAGTAGATGTTTGCACAATGGCGATGGATACTTGTGAGGTATATAGAAGGAGAAGATCGTGCGACCCGTGGCGGATAGTCGAGAGAAGCGATGGGTAGCTGAGAACTACAAGGAACGTGTACGTAATACCGAATTAAGCAGTACAAGTGAATGGAATTAGGACGTAGATATAGGAGGAATAAATGAAAACTGCAACTTTGGATTAATTAAGAAGTGTAAAGAGCTTGTAATTCAGAAGCATATGTGATGGGTATGTGTTAAGCACAAGCTGAAGATAATCGAGAAGTATAAGTGGACTTTCAGTGACAAGTGGCAGAAAAACTGAAAAGTAAAAGCCGGAATATAATTGAGAAGAACAAAGGGGATAAGTTCGGAAGTGTACAAGAGGGAAGTAATTACGTAGCATAAAAGTGGGGATGATTGTAAATGTTCTATGATCGCGCGGGTGAGAAGTACAAGTGACGGGACTATGCAAATGTGTGAGGCAAACACGAGCCAGAGGAAGTGGATGAAGAAGTGCAAAATGGCAATTAATTGATAAGTGCAAGCGGCTGGATCGCTAAGCAATACAAGAAGGTGAGAGAGGGGTACACGTGAGGTGGTGAACATAAAACGCCTTCTTTGCAAAAGTGTTGGAAAGGATCTTATCGTCATCGCATTTTAAATATGTTTCATCAAAATAAATCCTATAACTATCCTCTGCAATGTGCAGTTCGAGTAAGAAAACCTCGACTCCCACCTTTCTCTCTCTCTCTCTCTCTGTCTCACTTTGCGTGCGTCTGCTTTAGTCTCTAAGGATTAATTGCGAATCATTTTTCTGAATAAAGCGCTATCGCGGATTAGAAAACTCTATCTTCATTTTCTAAGAATTGTTTGTATGTGGCTCTGCTATATGAAAATTAAACTGTACAGAATGTTCCTTGAAAATATGGATGAACGGTCCTTTAAAATACGTCCCTTGGGCTGCTTGGAGACTCATTGTCGCTCAGATGGCATTTTCAATTGTTTGTTAAGTAAATAATTTCTTAATTTTTCTTAATTTATTTTGAAAAATCGAATGAAAATTAAGATTCAATTATATATTATATATATATATATATATTAAAAAAGTGTGGAAAAGTATTTACTTATATTACATAATGACATTATTTGTCCTCTTTTCGGTCTTATATAGGCCTTGTTCATAGTGCATGGCTATAAGCAAATAATCTACTATTCCCGATATGAATCTATTGTAAAATAAAACTTTTTGAATTGAATCGTTTATGATTAAGGAAAATATTCTTTCACATTAGGAATGAAATGCCATTCGAAATCGAAAGTCGGCACAAAAATTTATTACCATTTCACGATCTAATGTTAGGGTTCGGATATGTGAGGAACTTTCAATTAAGTTCTTCACAAGCAAGACGGATGAACAATTCTGGCACGATTACGAAGATTTTTGTATTTATATGTTACATAAATATAAATAGTACAATAATTAAATAAAGAAATATTTAAATATTAAATATGTATATATTATATTAATTAGATACAAATGATACATATATACAGATTGAAATGCTGGGTGGGAAACTCTTTGCATTTTGTAATTGCAGTAGATCTTTTTAATTTAATATAAATTACACATACACTCTCTCTATCTCTCTCTCTTTCTTTCTCTTTCTATCTCTATTAAATGATTCATTGAACTTAACGAAAAAAAAAGCTACTATCGAAACTTTCTTATCCAGTAACTCTCTTCAACAATATCCGGCAGTATTTCTTTACATCGCAATCAGTCAAAATTGAATCGATTTTCTAACTCCACAGTAAAACAAGTTCAAGTAATCTCTCTTTTTGAATAAATACATTTTTTCCTTTCTTTTTTTATAAGAAGTCTCCCTAAAGTTATTTTGGGGGCAACTTTTACTGTCAGGCAAATCAATGATGAAAAGTCTGTTGATCAAAAGAACATTTAATTCCGTTTCTGGTAATCAATTGTCTCTTGGGCAGAAAACTTTTGTCTCTCAATGGAAAAAAAAAAAAAAAAACAAATTTATTGTATTCGAAATTGGCTTAAAATAAATTGTATTATTTAAAAAAAATAAATAAATAAAACTAAATAAATAAAAAAAATATACTATTATTATTCTAATCAATATAAACGTGTTAAAAAAAAAATGATTTTTTTTTTTTTTTGTTATCTATTTCAAATTTTTTTTAATAATATTACGTATGAAGATTTATGTGTAACGTTATGGAGAAAAAGGAAAGCCATTTATGAAAATTACAATTTTTGAATGAAGCGATGAAATAAAAACTGGAAAAAATAATACATTTGAAAGCGATATTTAAATATATATATATATATGTATACATATATATTTGATTACATAATGACCTTTTGTTCCTGGATCTTCCAGATCTTCATTACACCCTACACCATTTTTGATGCAGGGTATATTAAGTTTGGAACGATGTATGCAACACGCAGCAGGAATTGAAGAAAACTCGCCCCTTATTTTAATGGCGATTCTCAATCGATCTAAGCTTGGCTCTCTGTCCCTCTGCCTGTCCATATATTTTTAACTTCATTCCAGAGATATTTTGACGCAATTTATTAAAACGACGCGTTTTGGCGCAAGGACGAATGTCTTGTTGAAAATTATTCGAATCGGACCACTATTCGGATCACTTCCCATATAACGCCTTATTTTAAAAAAACCATACGGCATTATGAATAACAGTACTAAGCGAAATGCTATTTAGGAATTTAATGAAAGGCCATTGCCGCGTATAATTCTTTAACTTGCTTTATCTCTAGACTCCTAATATCATCCTTATGACGATAATAATTGATGATGATAATAAAAGCGGTAAAAATTTATTATAAATAAAAAAACATTACATTAGTTTTGCGATTTCCTTTAAAGCGGTTCTAATTTGAAAGTTCTCTCTCTTGTCTCCGAACGTTTTAAAGCTAACTAAATCGAGTAAGTGATAGAAGATATACATAAATAAAATACAAATAAACAAAAAAAGACATGAAATATACAAAATTATTGAAAAGAAAAACGAAAGTGCATACCCAAATAAAAATGTAATTGTAATAATATTTATTATATAATTATTATTAATTTGTTAGTTCAAAGGAAACTATATCTATATATATACATATATATATATATATATATATATATATATATATATATATAGTTACATGCAGTTATATATATATATATATATATATATATTAAAAAAAATAAATAAATAAATAAAAAAATAAATTAAAAAAAAAAATCAATTCACTGCAAATGAAAAACTGATCTAAATATTTATAAATAAAAGCGTAATAAATATTGTACAATTAAAAATCGATAAATAAATATAAAAATTATTACATTACAAAAGAAAATGTATGAAATATTTTTAATGAAATGAATTCCCCTTTCGTAGGCCTCTTTTGCTTCGAAATTTATGGATCCGCAATCACAGACTCGTTGTGCTCGTATTCGTTGAGCCGTTACTCGTCCTGTCAACATTTATCTTTCATTGCAATGACATTTGCCCACCTCTTGTAAGAGCAAGTGAAAATGCTACAACGGGCCTAGGACCGGACCATACATCGCCAAAGAGTCGCTTTATGAGAGTTGGTTGAAAAAGTACTTTACAAAGCATTCGTCATCAAACTTTACAAAGTACAGGCATCTATAAAATATATCTTTGGTCTCTTGATCAGCGTGAAATTCTGAATTCGATAATTATGTCTGTCTTTTTGTATGTCCGTGTGCCTGTGTGATATGTGTTGTCCCCACTCTCCAAGTCGCGAAAATAAAGATATCGACTTCACTTTTGTCGGAATCATTGAAGGTTCCTGCGTGTGGAAATGGGCTAAAAGGGTCAGAGCAAAGTACCAAAGAATTTTATTTTTGTTCATAAATTCGAAGAAATTCTCTTCGCTCTGATCAAATCAGTTTTATTGGTACTTGTGTGTACCAACTCAATGACACTTCATTTCGCATTTTACTGCCGTGAAGTGAGCACATCGCGTGTAGGCAAACGCAGATCGAAGACGACATTACATGTATGTTGAAGTTCGCCGGAAATGGATCTTGACGAGCAAGTTCGAATGAGCAAGACTCTGAGATGGCGTTAGTCGTGCATTTTGTGTGATCGTTGCGCTTGCGTCACCAGCGGGTCATGAGACGATTGAAGCTAGGGTCACTTTTTTACACAGCGTAAAGGCATTGGGACATAATTGAAAGACAGAAGGATAATATTGATAGGATAAGTTAAAGAAAAATGATTAAATATTAAATCTGTATAATGCTGTTTATCTACATTGTCGAACAATTAATATTTTATCCATAGAACAAACAATTTTAATTTGTTCTTTTACGAACTTACTATTACGGAGCTGTGTATTAAAAATTAGACCTCTTTGAAAATAAAGGCTTGCTTTCCATTAGAATGGTTGTGCCCAGTTGGTTCAAAAATTAAGGTAAATATTCACTATTATCGATCAATTTTCATCATATAATAGTAAAACTTTGACTTTTAGATATCAAGAACGATGACTTGTATAATAAAGTAAAGAACATTAATAAAGGAAAGCAAGCACCGCAGCTACAGTACACAGCGTAGAATATGGTTGACTTCAAAATGCTAAAAGCGAACGCGAACTTAAGTAACTACGTTATATAGCTACTACATAAGATAAGGTCTACCGTGCTGAGATTCGAAACTGCGAGCACGGACTTGGCAGTCGCGAATCGTATCCTTGCACAATGCGGTAGCGCAGTGACATGAATCGTCGCACAAGCCCTACTATGACCTTCCTCTTTTCGCTGCATTGTTTATTCCATATCGGAGAAATCTATATTTTATGTCCGCCAAAAGAAAATTTTGTACGAAGAAACATTTTATCGCGTGTAAAAAAATTCTGTGGTAAGAATAACTAATTTTATTTAATGTTCTAGAATATTCTTGAATATCTAAAATATGTGTGTGTCCAAATAAATTTAATACATATATATAAATATATAAGCAATAAGTAAATTAAATAAAGTTAAATTATTCCTACAAAATAATCCTTTTTAATAAAAAAAAGAAAATTTCTTCATAAATTTAGAATTCTTCCACTTTTGTGAGCCCAATATCAAGGCAGTTAGTTTAGTCCGAACAGATTTAGAGTAGCAATTTTCGACAAATACAATTAGTAATAATAATAATAATAATAATAATTATATTTAAATTTTTCATTTTATGAGTCATTCAAGTTGTCTTTGTACGACGATAGATACTCTGAGGGATGGAATTTCAATCAATAATTTTTATTTACGCAATTTTGTTATTGTTAGTAATCTGCACTAAGTGTAATAGATGTTCACTACCTTGGGTGGCAGAGAGGGAGGCATTTGATATAGCATTGGAGCTAATAGATCCATGTAAAGAAACACAAATTAGTTAGTTGTAGGACGTTTATCTTCACGAACAAATTTAATGTTTCTCCGTCTTTTCGTACGACTCAATTGCACATACCTGGAGGGGGTGCCATAATTACAGCTTTGGTTGCGAAAATGGATGTTGTATAGTGTTGTCATGTAGACATAGAGACAAACATAAATTAGTTAACGCTCATCTTCTTTGGCAGATATAATGAATATATAACAAAAAAAAAAAAAAAAACATGTCTTCGTGCACATACCTGGCGGTGGTCGAGCGTTCGTCGGTGTTGGCCCTGATATGGGTAATGTGTTGCCATGTAAAGAAATATGGGTGAGTGATATAATAAAATTATTTTCATGCAACACAATTACACATACCTTGAACTGGTACCGTACCCGCCACTTTAGCTGCTGTAAAGACGCAAACATAAATTACTTAAGGTTTATCCTCGATGGCAGAAATAATACAATTCTTCTTATATGGCAAATCGTGAATACGTACCATGGTTTGCAATTCCTTGGGGCGATGGCGGTACGATATCTATTTTTTTATGAAAACACATAAGTTTTTTGCAATAAAACTTTCATACATGCATACATACCCGCCAAGGATGTCCCAGGGACCGTGTCATGAAAGACGGCAGCTATGTTAGGACATTAAAAGAGATAAGTTTTTTACTAAAAGCCCACAATTGACACAAAAACATACCCAATAGATTGTTTGCTGGGGAACCGTCGGTACCAGAAAGTGAAGCTATGTTAGAAGATAAATATTTATCAATATGAAACACCATTTTTAATATAATTAGATATAAATTTATTTGCAAGAAATATCGCGAACTTCAACTTCAAATTAAAAATGAAAAAGCGAACGCATAAAATTTATTACTAATTCGTATTCTTGAGGAAAATATATGTTGAGTCTTGAAAATACAAGATAACTTATTTCCGAGTAATTTAACTACCAGAAACACTTTACACTTACCCGTGGTTGCTAGCGCATGTGGAGTGAAAGGAACAAAAACATCAAAGTAATGATGAAAAGAAACGGAAAAGACGAATTCATAAAATTCATTAGTACAACACATGCTTGAAGGAAGTCTATGATTGATTCAATTACGTTCTTCTTGGGCTAGCCTGGATGAAGGCAGAACTAGCAAGCACATCACACTAGTAACGACACAAACCGGTATAGGCTCCATTGTACTTTTTTTTAAATTCAAAACTAACTAAAGTTTTATAAGTAGCATAGAACTCCTTCTTATATACCGATCATCGTTTTTTTTTTTTTGAATCGTTTAACGTATCAAATGCTTTAGTTTCAATTCATTTCAATTTTAACAAGCAGTTAATAACTCAGTTTAATTGCTGAAAAACAACAACATTAAAAGAAGTTCGTTGCGGTTTTCTTTAGTTATTTTCTTTTTTTGAATTCCAACAGCTTTTAATGCCTTTGCATGGTACGTACAAACCCTCAAAGCATTACTAATCGACGCTCCACTTAAATTTTATTTTAATCGCGTCCTTATGCTTTTTATCTAGTTATCTGAAAATTCCTTAAAGATAACACCAAACCTTGCCGACATAAAAATCTTACTTTCACAACACGCAGAACAATTTATTCAAATAAAAGCTTACCCAGCAAACGCAATGTAAAGTAAGCGAGCACAAGCCATGCTATGCAAAAATAATCGCTTAGTACAACAATCTCTTATTAATCCGGTTTAAAAAACTTAATTAACTTAGCATTGGAGATAAGAGAAGAGGATTGTTATTCGTTGCCGTGCTATCATTCCCATATAATCATACGCTTGTTGTATGTAGAAGGAGAAAAACTTATTTAAAATTGTATTTCAACTAAAATTTTAAAAGCGTATTTTTGATCTGATAATCTTTTAACTGGCGATCTGTTGCGAGAATGCCTGTGCATGCGCCTACGTTACGATATCAACTCTTGTCTTACCCACCTTTGAAAGGCTCTTGCTAATCTTCATTGCAATGTCCCCCTCTCTCCCTCTGTCATCATGCCTTACAGAATTTGCGCAATCGTCGATATCGATCTCTGTGACATTTTATATATCGAGTTAAGAATTCATCCAAACGGTGCAACTTTTTTGCTAACGAATTCGTGGATGTGGTTTACACGTTTATTGCTTATTACAATGTTTCATATTATATTTCAATAGTCAGCTCAAGTGCTCATCTACTTGAGGATATAAAATCTTCTTATTTCTAACACATTCTACGTTCTTTCCTGGACATTTTTGCGTTTATTCCCGTCTTCCTTTCACGCTACGTTTGCACAAATCCGCTATAATGATATCAATAAATGATTATTTTTGGGTATGGGGCCAAGCCGCGTAAAATCATTCCACCACTTTTTGTAGATTATCCCCAGATCAGTTTTGGGTAGCAGAAGTCATCTGACCTTTTAAATATGTTTATTATTTGGTAATTGGAGAAATTTTCAGGCAGTTGGAGAAGAAATAATAATTGATGCTACGCGTTACTGGATTATATTTTGTTATGCATACGTCTACGTAACGTATTCTTTGAAGCTCTGACGTTATCAGCTTGATGTAAAAAGAAAACTGTCTAAATCTATCTAGTTTTCTTTATTAAAACGCTTTTGTACGTCCGTACGTCGGAATGATTAATAGGTTTAATATGGGCAGATGAGAAATTATATTCGACTATAACCCTCTTTTATGTCTATTACTTTTATCCGCGAAAAGACAAAAAAAGAAAACAAAAAAGAGAACTAAATTATTATGCTGTTGATTTTGATTTTGTTGATTATACGAAGAAATACTTATCTTCTACGGCTAATGGGCAAAAAGTCAGAAAGCGGAACTATTCTTATTTTACGATCGGCAAACCGACATGCTTACGAAGTTTGCGGATTTGACGGTGATCAAGAATGTATTTTATAGTTTGCCTGATTTAATAAATTATATAATTATAGTAAATGGCAGCAATGAAGGGAACTAATAGTAGAGAATGTTCACTTTCGGTCAAAGGGTAAACTTGACTTCAGTCGTTTATTAGAAGGCGCCAATAAACCACTTAAGGCTAAGATGTAGAATAGTCACGACATGTAACTAGCAATAAATTAGAAATCCATGGATCTATGCTACTATCTAGGGAACTAGCTCTTGGATAGTAAAAGTCGACAAGGTAAGAGCTTTAATTCTAAATTAATTATGGCTGACGTCACGACATGGTGTCTTAATTTTTCGAAAGAGAAATTTTATATCATTCACTTTTGCCATTTGGCGCCAAAGATCTTAATGGTGGTGGGTATGCGAAATTCGCCCCCCGAATGTAACTTTATTTGTTTCCGCTTTCAGATAATTTTTTTGTTAAATTATTTGAGATCATTTATTAAATGGAACTTGTTTTTAATATCAATATCAGCTCGAATTGACTTTTGCAAAACGTTTCCAAAACGTTTTGAAATCTATCAATTATTTACAGTCAGCACTTAATCAGGTTGCTTAATTTGTAACCTTAATATATGAAACGGATTTAACCGGAGGGAAACAATAAATAAATATTCACGGCAAGTACTGCCACTTTATTGGGGAAAAAATTTGTCGTGATTTCATTTAAAGACAATTTGATATCCAAGTTAAGTCCATTTCTAATTAAAAAAGGACAGATGAAGCTTCACATGCTGACTTAATTGCCCTGCCGAACATGGTGCCTTTGTATCCTTTCAAGGAACCCATTGCAAGGGTCCTTCTTAATCCAGTCTCTGCCAGTGCATATATTGGATACCATGATTATCAAAAAAAGGAAGGTGCCACCCTTATACAGCACCTCTCGTAGGCGCGCCCGTTTAAACTCAACTGTACAAGTCACAATCGTCGAAAAAATGTACAGCGCTGTTCCTTATGGTTCGTAACCATTTTGCCAGCAAAAACATTGCAATTTGTTCTCTTCTCTCTTTCGCCACTACTTTAATAATTGGAACACAACCTGGCAATCTGGAAGGAATAATTCTCGTGATAACCTATTGGAAAATTCATTCATTCATTTGTTTTAAATGATGGAAGGCCAACACGCTTCATACAGCTGATCGTAACGACTTAATATGTGACTCCCCGTCATTTCTTTCGTCTTTGTCGTGGTGCGTCTCCGATGGTCATCATAATAGTGACAGCTAGTAACATTTAATTTTTGTTTATTAACATTTGTTGCAAATGCAACCGTGTAGCGGATTATTACATTCAGCGAGGATCTTTAGCTTACGCTTAAAAGGCTTTCTTAGTTTTATTCGTTATTAACCGACTATAATTTTTGTTAACTGTATTTAGCATGTCTTCTATAAATATCGTACTTAATCACTTTTAAGTGCATTTCCCACTAATATATAATTACAAAAAGTGAGAGAAAAACGCAAACAACAAGTCACCATCAACTGCCCTAGGCAAAGAAGAAAGAAAATTAGTAAGAAAGTTATGTTCGGCCTAGACCGAACCTCGCATACCCATCACCATTAAAATTTTTGGCGACCCATATTTTTATTTATTGTCTTAAAAAAAGAGAACCGGATAAAATTTATCTTTCACCTTTTACGTCATTGGCAGGTATTGTTAAGAAAAATTAATCCATCATCCAGAAAAGATATTCACCACCTTATTGTTGTTCATTGATGACGGTGGATAGAAGAGGGGAGCCGGTATGTCTGGATGCATTGTTGGCGCTGATAGCGATAGTGATAGCAGTGTCATGTAAAGTGGCACAAATTAGTTAATGAAAGAGTTTTCATGTGCAATATCACTGACCTTGAGTGAGCGGCACAGCTGTTGCTTCCGGTGCTAACGGGGATTGTGCACAGCGTTGGCATGTAAAGAAACAAACGTAAGCCGGTTAACGCTCGTCTTTATTGTCAAACAGCGTGAATACATACCAGATGCGGATTCTTCGGCAAGTGATGGGATTAAATCCATATTTATTAGAAGTCATAAATTTTTGAATAAAAGTTGCAATTAGGATGAATACATACCGAACGGAGATTCCATCCTAAACGGAAGGTAATCTTGAGGTCGCAAGTCTATATTTATGAATAGATGTAGGTTTCTACAATAAGATGCAATTAATGTGAATACATACGTTGCGGCAGTTCCCCATGGTGCCAGATGTAATAACCACGCTTCCCTTTAGGTGGCTTAAGAACGCAACCATCTATATTTTTTGCGCATATAAATTTTTCGCATTAGAATTCAATACACAAGTACATACCTTTGAGAGATTTGTCATCGGGAAAAGACATGTAATAGCCGTCCCTAATATAAAGAATTTGCTGAAAACACTTCAAAGCTATAGGCAGAGGCAGATAAAATAACATTTTTTTGCAATATAATAAATAATAGTTTTCTCTGATATAACTGGGCAATACTTACTTTCATTCCAAGGTTTGAGATCCCTTTGGTCTATAAAATATGCAAGGTATAACTCTTTTTGCAATAGGGATCAGCAAAAATGCATTACATACCCGACAGCCTTCCATGGTTCCACAGTAAATAATAACCAGCTCCCGTCGGTCCAGATTTAGCGCAGGGATCTATGTGTTTTGATGAAAAACATACGTCTTTAAATTTAAATTAACGAAAATACATACCACTTGGAGCCGATCCTTCGTGCTTGATATAATGCCCGTTATCACGATCCTTTCCAGGGTTCCAATAAGGTGTACAATCTGTTTTCGGCAAAAAAAAAAGGAAGTTTTTATAGCATTACACTAAATAAATACTGAAAATTATTCACATTAGAAACTATTCGTAAAGAAGCTTTACGTGTACATCGCAAAAATACAAAGTAACTTCAAGATTTCAGAGTAAATCGGTTGCTAGAAATATTTACCTTTCGCTTTATACACAATCCAAAATGGCAGAAAAACCAAGTCAACGTCCGATCCGAAAAAAAAAAACATTAAATAAAACTTATAAAGACAATTATTTGTGAGAGAACTTTCTGTACACTCCTTGACATACGCAAGATAACTTGTAACAGAGTAATGTGATTATCAGAAATACTTACACACTTTACGTTTCGTCGAAGATGGCAGAACAACAAATTTACAATGATCCGAAAAATGAAGAAACAAATGAAAAAAATTTATATGTAAAATAACATAACTTGTTTCACACTTGTTGTAACCCGACTACCTCCATTATCTCGACATTTCACACTCAATAGTACTAAGTTCATCAAATTCAAAATAATCGAATATTTTTTTAACATCATTTCGTAATTAAATGAAATTTGCATAAATTTTTATGAATTCTATAAAAGACTACTTAACTTACTTCTCTTTATATACCCACGATGGGGTTCTTTGAACGAATGCAGTAAATTCTTTTGAATTGCATATTTTTCTGCTTGAATTTTCAAAATCGTATTAATTCAACTCAAGCGTTCAAAAATAACAAAATATAAACGAATTTGTTACGGTTTTTTTCTTTGTCTCCTTTGAAAACTTCACTTGCGATTGATTGATGAACAAAAGTGCTATAAATATGCAGTGGATGTGTCGAAGAAGGAAATAAAACAAATTCGAATGAGCCACCATTAGCTCAAATGACATTTAATGGTTTTGTATATAAAAACCTATCTCAAAGCATAACTAATAGACGTCTTCTCTAAACATTATGACGATAGGTGTTTGCAAAAATTTTGATCAGCGATTTCTGATAAAGATATGGGAAATACATGTGTACATAACGGCTAAAGTCGATGGTCTGGACAATCCTCTACATAAAATAACAGACTTCCGTTTAATATTATTATTCGGCGTACGCCACTAACCATGAAGCGCTCAAAATTCTTCTTCTTCTAAATTCATTTGTTGTTTATTTGAAGAATTCTCTTGCCGAAGACCACCAAACACGTTTAGTCTGTTTTAATCTGCTGCTTCACCATATCCCAATTCTCGATTTTGGGTCCAACGGTTTAAAAGTGGCAACACGAATTGATTGCCATCTTTTGACCATTTGTTGCAAGAGTTTTCAAGGATACTTTAGGCAAAATAATCAAAATTTTCGCAAATATCTAATATTATATTATAATTGAGCCGATAGCCTGTGTTGCTAGTGTTCAATGTCTTTTTTTAGTCTAAGAATTCATTTCATTAGTCTAAAATTAAAATAATAATAATAATAATATTATATTATAATTATATTATAATTAACAGAGTATCTTTTGGAAATGCTAATAACCATTTCCTGAGCAGCACTGAACCAAGGAACAGTAAAAGTCAGCAAAACCACTGTTTACTGCTAGCACAAGAAATCCATTCTCACAGTACAAAGAATGAATTATTCAACTAAAAATCTACATATTTTTATAAGCCCATCTCGGACATCTAGAAAGTAGTACAGAATAGATTCTATCCGGCCACGCAAATAGGAAACGGGATTTTATAAAGAAAAAGATTTTATACGAATGCTGCGTGAAATACTTTACTTAATGCCCACATTCTTCTTTTAAAATCAAACAAGTAAGAAAGCTATATCCGATTGGGGGCGAATCGCGCATATCCAGCACTACTAAAATCGCCCGCGCACATGCTATTATTTATTGTCATAAAAAAGTGGATGGAATACAATTTATCTTTCATCTTCCATCTAACTAAAATGTATTGTTAAGAACAATTAATCCACCCCGTCATAACGTCCACCATAATTAATTTGAGATTAACGCTCTTACCTTGTCGCCTCCTACTCTCTAAAGTCGTTCATTTGATACCTATATCGATAGCATTATTAACAAAAATTTAATCCACCATATCGCGCTGTCCACCTTATTTATTTTAGAATTAACATTTTTCCATTTTTAGGCAGATCTTCATTTGAGAAATATGAATTTTAATCACTTGCAACTCTGTGTGGACATGGCCAATTTTTTTCCACATTTTTTGCACATTAATAGTAGAGTTTTGCATATAGCAAATATAGAAAATTTCATCCTTCTATCTTCCATAATTTGTGAGCAATGGGCAAAATGCCCCACAGATTTTCGCTTAGAGCAACGGAGCTTTCAGTTTACGCTTACGGGTGTTTATGTGGGCAATTTCGCCTATTTTCAATAGCAACTTCATCCGTCATCGACATTTTCATTTTTGCGAGGAGGAGAGAGTCAACAATGAGAACGAAAATGACACAGCTTGATCGATTCGGAACATCGCTGTGATCTAGGGTATATATACTTTATAGGGACTCGCAACCTTCCGTTTTGGTGTTAACGTACACTCTCTGAAAGTGGCATGTATTAGGACTAGCATCAGAACCCAACAGAATATTTGAAATCGCAGTATATTATTGTGTTAACAATACATTTGTCCTTGTGTCCTATATATCTCAATGTCCTATTTCCATTTCTCAAATCGCTCTTAGCAGAACGAAAACAGTCCGCTTAGATGTGAATCATAATTCTCTTAATAGTTTTCTCCCGGCAGATTCCACGTTTCCACGAAACTGGTTAAATCACCTTTTAATAGTAGTCTGGCCCTTTTGCTATAGCTTAAGTGTCCCCGTAAGCATTGTCCGCCCCTTCCTATTCTTACAGTAAAGAAGCCTTGACACAATTTATGCATTTGTTTTTAAACACTTACTTATGTGTATGATCAACTATTTCATCATATATTTATTTGTATATGTTTGGAACAGTGTTTTGGACATTCTTCTTATGATTATCAGTTGTGTTGTGCAAAATTAGACAAAACTAATTCTAATGTTTTCATTAATCAGACAGATAGCCAAATAGTAAGACAAATCGACGGACAGACGGAATGCTTTAATCGGTTCAGAATCTGACGATTAAGCATGTACATATTCTGCAGTGTGTCCGAACCTTTGTAAGACTAGCTTTTTCCATTTGGGTTGGTATTGGAATGTACAAGGTAGTTAGATTTGTTAAACTATCTGTAATTCTGGTATCCATTTTTACGCGTAGTACGAGAGTTGGTATTGGTTTGTCATGCCCAAATTCGAAATTTATTTTTGATGGTTCTCTGAAGTCTTTCGCTAAAACGTCTTATTAATAGGCTGACGTTCAATCAAACGAGAGGTAATGATCATCTATTCAAAATTAACATAGTAAGCAACCTTTTACGCACATATTTAGTCTTAGAATCTCTTGATAATGCCCTACTTGTCTCTCCGAATTTTATAGACACTTGAGTATATGTGGTCTTCGTGACCACTGCGTTCTTGACATTTTGTGTTCTCGCAATTTAACAGCTTACGTCGCAATCTTTTTTTTTTTTACAAGATCCACACAAAAATATTTGTGTTCATATTAGGCCTTTTCACACATCCCAGCGAAGTTTCGATTCTAATTTGCTGAATAGCGTAAGAAGAAGAAGAAGAACGAGAGCTTTAACAGAAAAATTATTACAAATTACATTACAACATAGACACAAATGCCGCTATTCGTTTCAGGGTTTTGCGGGCTATAGTAATTTGACCTACGAGATAAATTTGAAAGCCGCTAGGGAAGCACAGCGAAAAATTTGATTTTCAGTCTTCGCAAGCAAGGGATTTAGAACCTTACTTTCCGCTTCAATCAAAAATGGCTCAAAACTTCATCAGAGCCTAAGTTTGCCGCAAATTCTCTTATTGCTTTTAACAGTAGTATTCAAATCCTCCCTGGGTCTTTTTTATTTTTCTTATTTATATTCCTTAGTATGCCAATCAGATTGTACACCGCTGCACCCGTAAACCCGAAGCCTTTCATTTGAATGAACTTAATCGGTTTGTCCGGAAAGATGAAATAACATTACTGCACTTAGAGTACGTGAGCACCACACGTTCAATGTGTTGAAAAAGATTCCCAAAGATCTTCCCAACTAAGAACGATTTCCACTCTTGGGAATTATACCTTTACCCCAAAACGTCGATTTAAATTATATTAGTCGTCAATTGTTTGACAATTACACGTCCACGCTTAGATTACTCCCAAGAGCACGACTCTTTGAATTTCGCGCCTCCGAGAATGATGTCCAAGAGAGTGCCGGTTCGAGTCAAAGTATTTATTCGGTTGAAGAAGTAAATCCGTCGTAAATTGTCGTGCGATTGATACAAATCTTTATCTACACCTAACAGGCAATAAAAATAAAGTATTTATAATAAGATCGAATAATCAGCCGCGATAGAAGTGCATGTACGAATTATTTCGACAAAAAGACGTCTAAATACCAAATTCGTAAGATATTTTAGTCCTCGGCCTAGTAGCAAATCCATGTTTATAGCTACTACGCGCTAAACTAAACCAAGCTACGCATATTATTTTTTCTCTAATTGCATCGTTATGAAGATTAAGCAAAATTTTGTTACTTTCTTCTAAACTTATATTTTATTACAAGTGCTCTTTCCATTGCTTTTATTTCCTTAGCAGTTAACAGAAATTCTGGACAAGTTTTAAATCAAGCACAACACGATTTAATAAAAAAATTTCTTCTTTTTAGCATTCATATCCATAAGATCTAATGATTTTGTTGAAAGGTTCCGCCTGTTTGGCGATGTTTTCACGCGCTTTTACAGTCAACTTTTTCATGAGTCTATTGTGTTTAAGTATGACTTGGAGCTTGGCTTTGCGTTTTCGTTCCAAACTCTTGACAACGCCTTGATGGTGCCAGCCAACCTCGTTTGACAAACGACCTAAATTGCAATATTTTCTATCCGATCGTAGTGTCAAAATTCTCATTGCAATAGGTACGCAAACGCGGCGACGCTTGTCGTAAGGTGAAGGGATACCGTCGAATACTCGCAAACGTGACAGAGCCGCTTGACCACGTTTAGTCTTGTGAGGAATCATACCTATAATACAAAAAATAGAAAACATATATTAAGGAAGTGTCACTTGTGTCTATTTGATGTTCATGCGTGGTTTTTACGCTCCACCACTTCAATGAAGATGCGTACAATTCGTCAAGCAAGTTGAGTTCAAAAAAAAGGCCAAAACATTCCGTTTAACATACCTAAAAGAAAACAAAGAAGAGAAATAGATCAGTAAGCGACAACGAGATCGAGCAACATATTTTCTAAAATCTATAATTATTCATCAGACAAAGAAATAGTTTCATATTTAACATTCAAATAATGTAGGTAAGAATTTATGGTTCATCACAATGAAAAGATTAAGTCGTAAAATAAACAAAACGTACCTCTTACTGCTTTGTAGAAAATTCTAGAAGGCGCACGGAAATGGAACGGACCTCGAGCAGGATTTACATTGCAACGTTTGCGTAAATAAGCCAGATATTTGATTTTATTTCTGTAAAAATGACCAGAAAGATTCAATTCTTCGCAACGCACAACCGCCACTTTGCCGCCTTGCAAAAGATATTTTGCAACAACGGAGGCCAAACGACCCACTAAATGTCCTCGACCATCAATAACAACGGCCTAAAATAAACATTTAAGAAACAATTATTAAATTGAAAACTCAAAATTTTACACGTTCATGCGAATGTAAACCCGTTAATTATTATATGCGCTCTTATTTTTTATTTGTTTTATTCTCTTTACAAACATTTTAGTTGCTCGAATTATGCATTTGCTTTTGCACGTGTGCACTGCTTTTGTTGGACAAGTTTTACATTATTTCTTCGCTTTATACAGCGAATGCTTATTTTTTTACTTTTCAATAGAATAATTTGATGTTTTGCACAAATTTCCGGTTGAGCGGGCGACTTCTTGCACGAAATATCACCACTTACCCTATTCGTTAGACCAGTCATGTTTGAGAATCGAACAGAAAGAAATTATCTATCATCAACACGAATTAACGGAAGCGACGCCATAGTAACAAAGTGACATTTTGAGCTGGTTGCCATCGCTTTGGTGATTTAAAACGGTTTTACATTTGACGGTTTAATGTTTACTCGCTATTTGGATATATGATCTTAGGGGGCTGACACATTGAGATGCCATTTTCATTTTCGGATTAAAAAAGTGCAAAAACAGTGGACAGCAGCGCTACCGTATTGTTTTACAGGAAAATGTAAACAAAACCATATGGATTTAGAACCAAAATTAAAGAAATCAAGGTAAACATAGACAACAAATTTATAAATAATTGCAATAAAAAAGATAATATAAAAGTAAACAAGCTCGTTTATTGCCTAGTGATAGCGCAGATTGATTAGATATGGTGGAAAAATAATTTGAAAACTATCATTTATCATTCTCTAAAAAGTCGATTTAAAACAAATAGTTTTTATTTCTTATAAAATAAATAGTGTAAATGCAATTTGCAAATCACTTACTGTAAAAAAGGGACAATAATGTATGGTAAACATAAATAAAATAGGATAGAAAATTTTTAACTTTAACATAATTTGATTTTATTTCTTGTTGTATGCTGTTCTCTTATTGTCTCATTCGTATGTGTACATGTAAAACCATATAATTGCTGAATTACTATAAATATTTCCAAAAAGTCGGCAAAATTGAAGTTCCGGGAAATCGGGAAAATAGGAATAACGCCATATTGTGTCAACCACCTTAATTTATCACTCGTTAGTATTTTTGTTTCCATTTTTATTTTGTAGTTCTTTTAGCTACTGCACTTAATTTTAATTCTCAATTAATTCCCAATCCTGTCTGCCAATCACAATCATGCCTTGCCTGAAATATTTACAGAGTTTATGTATGCTTGAGGGAAGAAATACTCATTTGAGGCAAGCGACACTGCATTAAAGCCGATTTATTACGTTTGTCGAATATTATAAGATTTCTATTTAAACCTACCGTGACTTGTGGTAAAGCGTACTTGCATGAATTATGATCAAAATATATTTTGTATACCTTCAACTTGCATGAATTATGTTTGCACTATTGAAAAATATCTATGTATTATCAGCATTAGAAGTGGAAAGTCATTTTCTTGGATAAATACATAATGACGAAAGAAATCAAATTAACCGCTTGAATCGAAGAAATCAGAAAATCTATGTTTATTTTTTCAAAATTATTGAACTTTTCTTCCTCGTTCTATGTGATTTCGGGCGCGGTCGTATAAAAAGACGTTTTTAACTCAAGTCCGTCATCGTCATAAGATCCCCATGCAGCATGCATGTCAATAGTGAATCCGAAATTGAACAAGATTCCTGATGGATTCATGTTCTTACCTAAAAAGAGTCGTTACGTTGAAGAGACTTTTGACCAGTAAACGTGAAATTGTAGGAATATCATATGTAAATTTCGAACAAATCTTATTGAAGACGAAGAAATTGGAAAAGCCACCGGATAAAGTAGAACGTATTTAAACTTTTATGATAACGTGATCCTCAGTTGTAAGAGTGAAATCATAAAAATAATTGCAAGAAATTCTATATTTATTAAAAATGTAGTAAAGTAGATTAAAAAGCATCAGCAGCATATTTTAAAAAGCCGGATTATTCTAGAGCTATATTTTTATACTCTTTTAAAAGTTTTTTACTTAAAAAATATAAAAAATATTTTAGTAAATACATGGTTAGTTAAGCATAAATACATGTGCATATATATATAGAAAGAATATTACAGAGAAAAAAACACAAAAGATATCAAATTAACTTTAAGGGTTTGCAAATTTTTTAAATAAAAATTAAAATAAAGGACTATGTATGAACACTTTTTCTTTTTTCTGCTTTGCAAATTACTTCTTTTTGGAATTGGGGCTGGTTGATTGAAAAACAGAAGAGGCCGACATTAAATTTTCGATATATTGGCCTAAAACTTGGTTTTCGGAACGCAATTTTAAATTTTCCTCTTTGACGGAATCAACACGTTGAGATAAATCATCTAAAGTATTCTGTAATTCCAAGACTTGCGATATGAGGCGTGCTTTTTCCTCTTTCTCATCGGGGCTAATATCGCCTTCTAGCGAATTATGTGAGGAGTCTGGAGTAGAGCTGCGATTGGTAAAGGAGGATCTTAGTGAATCCATAGACTGACCGTTAGGCATGTTAATTGCGCGTGGGTCGTCGTCGCTAATTATAACTGATGAAAGAAAAAAAGTTAATTTCTGTGCAATATGTTCGTGTTTTTGTAAATAACACTAAACCCACCTTGTGGGTCGTCATCCGCAAATATTGGTTCTTGTTCTTGCAATTTATCGATTAATGACATAGCTTTTCTTCTGCCCTCCCAAGAATTCTTCTCTAATTATCAAATTGCTTATTAAAGTAACAGTTGCGTTTATTATTAAAATAAAGTATTTAAAAATTATTGACTTTTTTTCGGAATTTTCTTTTAATATCTTTGCAATTCTCTCAAGCCAGAGTTTTTATTGTTGTATTGTAAGAACGCATTCACAAGGCAGATTTATTTTGCACTAATATTCATTTTTTTTTCTACTACTATTATGAATGTCTAATTTGATAAATGAAACAGCTGATCGACTTAAATAAAAAATATCAACGTTTTGCTAGCATTCCATAATAATTTTTGTGTTTTTTTTGTCAAAATAGAAATAATTTTAAAAACTTTTGGTGGACAACCATGACACTCGTGTTAAAAGTTAAGTGCCGAGCTTGTAACCGAATGTGCGGTGACTACAAACATCTATTGGACGAAACGGTCATAGACAGCGAGAGCAGCACATTAGCGGCTTTACTTACTTATTGTACGACAGTCGAGCTCTTCCAAGAAAATTGCAATGCTCCTCCTTTGCCCGAACATATTTGCAATAGTTGTGTAGAACACTTACTGCAGTCATATTTATTTAAGGAAATGGTTTTACAAACAAATCATGACCTACATGAATATTTAAAACAGCAGCGGCATGAATTGGAGCAGGAAAAAAAATTGGGAGGGATAATGGAGCCGGATCCAGATATCGATGTGGATGTGGATGGTGTCGATGATGACGAGAGTAAAGTAGCGGAGCAAAGAGATAATAATACTGAATATATTAATGAAACCGATGGTAAAGTAGAGAAGGAGGAGCAGGAAGTACCATCTGACGAAGTAATAGTAAAAGAAGACCAGATAGAAGATAAGCTCGACGAAAAAGATGTCGAATATGAAATGGAAGAATGGTTAGAACCTATAAAGGAAGAAGAAGAAGTAGAATATATTCTTACCGATACCTATGATGATATGATCACGGATGAAGTCGAATTTGAAGAACTTTCCACAGAGGATGACAGGGAATTTGACAAAAGTTTGCCTTCAAACAAAGAAAATCAAGGAGAAGAGAGTTGCACCGCGGCCAAAGCAGAGATTGAAGCTGAAAACACCGAAGAGGAAAAAGAAGAATGGGAGTTTGTTGCAACTGAGGAAAAACCAAAGACCACATTAAAAAAGTCGCATGTGAAACGGAGAAGCTTAAAGGTGCGAAATTTTGTTGTTTGTTGATATAACATATATACATAACTTTGTCCTTTTTTGGTTTTTTTTTTTTTTTCAAAAGGATGGAAATATAACACAGGAGGATCTTACTTGTAAACATTGTGGTAAACAGTTCGATAAATTGTGTCGATTGCGTGAGCATACTTATATGCACACCGGCGAAAAACCGCACGTTTGTGCTGTATGCGGCAAACGTTCACGCACGAAAACTCACCATAACGTGCACATGCAAACGCATAGTGAGACAAGACGTTACAAATGCCAAATCTGTACCCGTATGTACCGTACATCTAATAGTCTCAAGGTGCACATACGTAAGCACAGTGACATACGACCGTATAACTGCCCGCTATGTGAAAAAAGCTTCCACACTGGCGAACAGCGAAAATTGCATGTAATGCTACATACAGGTGAACGACCGTTTAGCTGCACAAAATGTGGTAAAGCGTATCGTGAAAACTACTCGCTACGTCTGCATATGCAGACGCATGAGGATAAAAAGCCTTATCAATGTGAGGTGTGCGGCAAAGGCCTAACGCAAATGTCCGGATATAAACGACATATGCTTTTACACACCGGTGAATATCCTCACAAGTGTGATGTGTGCGGTCGAGCATTTCGCATTTCCAGTAATTTGGTTGCCCATAAACGTTTGCATTTGGATGTTTTGCCATTTCAGTGTAAGGATTGCAATAAAGGCTTCACTACAAGTTCCAGGCTTAAACGTCATATGATTCGGCATGAATGTGGAGATGAACAAGAATCTACCGAATGTACTTTTAAACCACGAAAGCAAAAAAGTCAGTCGATTTTAGTAGATGCGAAAATGGCAAGATCAAAAGTGGTAGAGATAATTTAGAAGTTTATATCGTTTACGCTTTATATATTATGTTTGCTTTTGCTTTTATGTTCAAGTTAGCGTATCGTCTGGTTTAGTTCTCCACGAATAAAATGAAAACAAGCGTTGTGTAAAAATACTAATATAAAAACGACCACAGATGATTTTGAAGAATGAAATTTATTATTATCATTTTTTTTAGACTAATTAAATAAATTCTTAGAGTAAACAGAAGGCTTTCAGCACTCGTATAAGCGGTCGTCTTTATCCGGTCAATACAATACGCTTAAATAACAACTTCATATTCAGTGGCTATACTGAAATTTAAGACTTTGATATTGTTAGGACCGCCACATGGATTCTTGAATATTTTGTCTATATTTGTTCTTGTAAGTTGGGATTGGGTTGGAATACTGCGCCGCAAAGACGAATCATAGATTAATTTGCTCTTTGTTGCCATATCGACATATCATTGGTCGCAGATAGAAATTATTGTAGGTTTGGATATTGAATAAACTTTCAAATTAGCTTTTATACAGCTTAGCTTTAGCTTTTTTTTTTTTAACTTTTCGACAGAAAGAAAAAGAATAAATGAAGTTCATATGTTGGGTAATCTTTGAATTTAGCTTTAATAAAATAAGCTTATATCAGCTTTTAGTTTTCGAAAGAGAGAAGAGAAATAAATATGGTTCATATATTGGATAAGTTTTGAGTTTAGCTTTTATTGGATATATATTTAAAAAGCTCTAAATTTAACTTTTATAAAATAAGCTTATAAAAGCTTTTAGTTTTTGAAAGAAAGAACAAGAATAAATAAGGTTCATATATTTGATAAGCTTTTAATTTAGCTTTTATTCAATAACTTTTCTTTTGTCTTTCTTTAATATGGCTTATGTATTGAGTTAAGGTTTCGATAGAAAAAACAAAAATAAATCCGTTTCATATGATGGATACATTTTAGGTTAAGCTTGAGCCGATAGCCTTTGTTGCTAGTGCTCAATTTCTTTTTTTAGTCTAAGAATTTATTTCATTAGTCTAAAATTATAATAATAATAATAATAATAATAATAATAATAATAGGTTAAGCTTATATATTGCGGATGGTTCTTACACCATTTGAAGAACGTAGATTTAGATGGTAAACTTAGTCACATAGGTTGCTTGATGGCTATCAAAGCCCACGTAAGTTAACGTTTGGACTGAGGTGATCTTGGTTTTGTTGTTGCAATTCTTGCTTACATGATCGCGATTAGTTGAATTTTTGATACCATAAGTAAATAAGTTTCCACTTGGTTTAACGTTCGAATTAATATTGGGCTCTTGCAGAAACTTTAAAATTTGACTTTATGTATTATTGCTGATATTTAGTTCGCATAAGTTCGATATGAATTTTGAAAGAAATTTTGAAAAAACAACAACAAATTTCTTATATGCTTCTCATCGAAGGAGCCCTTTTCTTAATGACGATTGTGTCATGAAAATGAGGTTTTTTTTTTCCCAATTGAATTTTTTCCGTATAATTGTACGCAAGTACGTATTGTTTTGTCGGTTTTTTTTTTTGTTAATCTTGCCTTTACATTGTTTTGAGAAATTTCGAAAATATTTGCAATATTATGCTGTACTTATTACAACGCGGTAAAGTACGTTCCCAAGTTATAAACGTGCCCGAAGGACTACCCGAAATATTAACTGATATAACACGGGAAGTGCTTCGTTGCCAACCGACGCCGGAATGCATGTGTCAATTTATTATCGATTATTTGCATTCGGTAATCTTGACCAGGGACAGAGCACGAGGCAAGTTGATCTCATCTAATGACGAGTATTCTTCGTTTTGATGTGATTTCTATTTGCAGTTGCGAAAAACATTATTGATCGTGCTTTAATGAAGGTGGATGAAATCATAGGTGATTTATGCTATTGCGATATACCCAAGGAGAAATCGGAACAAATGAGCTTAGCTATGGAGGATTGCTTTAAGCGTTTCTTGGCCAAGCGACGTTGTGAGAAGGATAGGCAAAGCGAAGTTTTGAAATTTAAAGAGTTGGATATATTAGATGAGTTAATACGAAAATGTAAATTTAATGACGACGAGCTGAAGAAGTCGCGGCAAGCTATCGAAGAAGCCTATAACAAATTTATGGACTTTTATTTGCTCACAAACACGGTAAGAGTACACTTTGCTTCGAAAGCTTCTAAACGACATCAATTAACTTGGATTCCATACGCAGTGGACCCTATATTTAGTGATTTTAAAATTCTCTCTTTGACCCTATGAGCGTAGGAACTGAAATGTAGCTGTTGATGTAGCCACTTACAGTTTATGTAGTTTGGTCGCACAAATCGTTGCTTTGCCTTTCCTCTTCTCTTTCGATCTCGAGAAACACATTCTTCTTATGTTCGCCGTAATGTAATTGTATTGGTGTGTAATTATCCCTGATTATGTCAGCTGAAGGGACGTTTATGTCGCATTGCTCCTAAGCACATGTATCTTTTTTTGTACTTGTAGTGCATTTCTTAGAAAATCAAAGTGATTTCGATAATCAGATAAGAAGACCTTAGTCCTCATATCATCATCATATTATATGCAAGATTTAGGTAAATGTAAAATTTTCACTTGTAGGATGACGATGCTACCGAGGCGTTATATCAGCATTTCCGCGCCCGAGAGTTACAGCGACAAGTCGAGGAACAAGAAAAAGAAGCAGCCACCAAAATACAGGTACTAATGGGATTACTTTGGCTATTGCAAGAATTCATTTATTAAAATTGATTTCACGCATGAAAATGTCAATTTGTCATCCATAGGCGTATTTTCGGGGTTATGTGGTTAGAAAGTCTATGCAAGATCTAAGAAGGACTTCCTTATCAATGGTACGCGTGAGATTAATTAATCGAAAGGGAACAAGTTTTGTATTTTGTTAATCAATTACAGCCTCCAAGTTTTGATATTCATCCGCCCGATGATCAAACTACAATGAAACACGATTTGGCAGCACGTAAAATCCAAACATTCTTTAGAAATCGTTTCTCAAAAACTTATGAAAGAAAGACGGTAAGAAGGAGGAGGAAGAGGAGGAGAAGACGAAAAGTGAACAGGAAATTCTTCAATTCTTTAATTTTTGTTTTTTGTTGTAAAATTAGAAACCTGATGACATGTGCGCAGACCTTTCCAAGATCTCAATGATGGATCCTTTGCCCATAACGAGTTCCCTTATCGTAGAAGCTCAAAGCGCAAATGTATGTTAATTGGCAGAAAATATCGATATTTTTGCAAGTTTATGACCATTCGATTTTTATACAGGAAGAACGACCAGCTTCGCAGACAGAGCCTGTCGCCGTACCGGAAGAACGCAAGGAACTTCAAGTTAGCGATGCTAATAAAAAAGATATCTTCAAGGAGCAAAAGTCTGCGCAGATACTGGAGAGGCCCATCGTAACACAAGCTGAGGTTGCTGAAATGGAAGAAGAATCGCTCCATGAAGACGACGGGATAGAAGAATAAATCTTGAAGTATTGTCTTAGAGTAGTGTCCTTTTTTCGGGTCTATGTTTTTTTTTAATATTTAGATACATTTTTTTTTTTTTTTAATCGAAATTAATCAAGGCCGTACACTAGGCCCCTAAATCGCTGAATGAATTGTCAAAACTCATGTAATAAGGAAATCTTTTCATAAAAAATTAAATTTCAGAGATTTCCTTTTTTTTCTTCGAAAGCTGAAGGCCGAAGGGAAACTAATTTATCTAAATTGTGGTCGTCCAATATATCAATATATCAATTTTCCCGACTTTCTGTCTTTATGTCATAGCCATTCTTCTCGGACGTCTTGATCTTGAACTCCTTATAGAATTCATGGAAACAAGAATAGACGATTCGGTGTACAGGGCAGGAAAACTCTGATCGTCCCTTATTCGTGGAACACCTGATGGCCGCAGCCTAGTGGACCCAATCCTTAATATTATGCCTTTACCGACTAAGCATTCTCTCTAGCTACGACCAAAGGAGACTCTATCACTCTTGAAAACACTGACTTGGTGGTCGCGATTCGGCTACTCAGCCGGATATAACTGCTTTTCGAACGGAAATAGATTTAAAGGCAATTTCCTGGTGAACGATGCAAGCCGATTTTAATGCGCACAGATTCTTAAAAGAGGAAGAGTAAAGACACAATAGATCCAAGATTCTTGCAGGAATTTAGTAGTGAGATGTCGACATTTTTTCACTAACCCTGCAATATTTACTCAATTCTTTTACCTTCTATTCGACCTTTTCCTGCTGTTCTAAAGTTCGTAACTAACTAGAAGAGTTTTCAGATAAGTTTTACCCGCCGATTTATATTATTTCCCTATTTCCGCGTCTTGCCGACTTGTTTTTCGATCTTCTTTTTTTCTGATTTACCAATGACTAGTCAATTGGCGGACGTCCCTTATATTAGTTTGGGGAAAAAGAAATCCATTATTTTTATATGAATTTCAGGACTTTATGCTTCGGATTGTCCGGTTTGGGTCAAATATGCACCGTTTTGTTGTATGATTTGTTGCCATTTTAAAGGTAACTTCAGAATGCCTCTCTCATAGAAGTCCCGGTCTCTATTTGCAAAAAACTCTAATAGTCGATTTTCACAATCCTCCCTAGATTCCAATTTTTTTTCATTAAAGAAATTTAGCAATGCAAGAAAAAGATGATAATCGCTTGGTGCCAAGTCCGGACTGTAAGGCGGATGCATTAAAACTTCCCAACCAAGCTCCCGAAGTTTCCGGCGAGTCACTGTAGATGTGTGTGGCCTAGCGTTGTCCTGGTGGAACACAACACCTCTCCTGTTGGCCAATTCTGGCCGTTTCTGGTCAATCGCTATCTTCAAACGGTCCAGTTGTTGACAGTGGAGATCAGAATTTGGCGTTTGGCCATATGGAAGCAACTCATAATAAATAATCCCCTTCCAGTCCCACCAAATGCATAGCAAAACCTTCCTGGCCGTTTGAGGTGCTTCACCGCTCTTTGACCCCGATCGTTTTCGCACAGGGTTATCGTATGTGATCCATTTCTCATCTCCAGTCACCATCCGTTTACGAAATGGGTCTATCTCATTCCGTTTAGCCAAGGCTTCGCAGATGGAAATTCGATCCATCATGTTTTTTCCTGTTAATTGGTGTGGCACCCAAACATCGAGCTTCTTTTTGAATCCAGCTTTGTGTAAATGGTTTAAAACTGTTTTATGGTCGATTTTTAGCTTCTGGGCGATGTTACGACTGCTAACATGCCAACTCGGTCAACTTCGATCATTTCTCCGATTTTATCGACATTTTCGACGACCGGCCTACCTGTGCGAGGTGCATCTTTAACATCCAAAATTCCTGAACGGAATCTACGAAACCAAAATTGCACATAATTGGCTGTTACAGTATCGGAACCATAAACACCATTCACAATTTTAGCCGCCTGGCTTGCATTTTCGCCTTTGTCAAAGAAAAACTGCAAAATGTACCGAATTTTCTCTTTGTTCACTTCCATTTTTAACACGCTGTAACTCACAACTGAATGCACCAAACAAAAAAACAGCAAAAGAATTTTTATTACTGCGAAATGTCACCTTTCTAACGACCATAAATCTGAAATTGTTTGATCGATACTTTACGAGAAATCTATCAGTGCAGCCATCTACCGAAAAAGTAATGGATTTCTTTTTCCCCAAACTAATATTAGAAAGAGAAAGAGATAGGGAGATTTTGCGCGAAAGTAAACTCTTTTTTCATACCCTAGACTTGAACGTGAACCCGCGAGCACTGACTGCGATTTTTACCCATTCGGCTACCCTTGAGGCATTGCAGCTGAATAAGAAGTCTCGGCTACTCGGCTATATATATATATATATATATATATACAAGTGTATATATAATGTGGGAAAATGGTTCACCAATGTTGAAAGAATTGCGCTGAGTTTCGATGAAAGTCAGCAGGGCTGCTTGGAGATAAAAAAATGCCTTAATTAATGAGATGAATGGATATCTGTTAGTTGCAGTTATTTTTTAAGGACCTTTAACTCTTATACAGAGCAATAAAGTCCAAGATTAAACTCGTAAAAACTCTAGCATCCAAGGCTTCGCCTTTATTGAACACTCTATCGCACTTGAGATTTAAAATCCACGGCCGAGATCCCGCTCGAAAATCCCGTACGAAAAAGCTTTTCTCAAGTTGAAAAGACCTCGATTCCGATCGACGCAATAAAGACTTTCTTCACAACATATATATACGTCTATGATCAAGCCGGGCGTGAATTTTACTACGCTTCAGTTAAAAAAATTCCAACTTTTCATCTCTACACACATCTGTTGTTCATCTGTTGTTGACTTGCTGAATTTTCGAAGAAGAAGAAGAAGAAGAAAATTATTTGTAATAATTATTAGGAAAGTTGTTTCTTTTCAATATCAATCATAGAAGTTTTGTACGGATTTTTTTTCTTTTTTTTTTTTTTTTGGGCTTTGTGTTATTTTTAGCTTTTCATTATTTTGAGAAATTTCGAAATTATGCTGCATTTAGTGCAAAGCGGTAAAAGTCACTCCGTAACGACAAGTGTACCGGAAGGTTTGCCCGAACTTCTTTCCGATATAACACAAGAAGTCATACGCTGGCAGCCATCAACCGAATGTATGTGTGAATTTATAATCGATTACTTACGCTCGGTAATTGCAGCCCGTGAAAAGTTACGAGGTAAGTTTCCTTTTCGCTCGCTGAAAATATGATCTTCGTTTCCCCCAAAAACTTCTATTGGTAGTCGCGAATATGATTATTGATCGCGCCTTGAGAAAAGTCGATGAAATCATGGCTGACTTGTGCATTTGCGGCATAGCTAAAGAAAAGTCCGAACAAATGAGCATAGTTATGGAGAAATGCTTTAAACGTTTCTTAGCTAAACGCCGTTGCGAGAAGGATAAGCAGAATGAAGTCTTCAAACTCGTAGAACTGGATATACTGGACGAGTTGATAAAAAAGTGTAAATTTAGTGATCTTGAATTGAAAAAGACGCGAACATTTATCGAAGCAGCCTACGATAGGTTTGTGGATATGTATCTGAAGGCGCAGAAGGTAAGCAAATGTTTCGCCTTTAACTTAACTTTTAATATAATAAAACTCCATTTGATCCGCTATTTTATTAGAAGTTGTTGTTGAGAGACTTGAGACTTTTTATAAAATGTACAGCGGATGATTTTCAATATCTTCGTAACATTGAAAGCGTACTTGGGTAGAATTTTCCTATGATTTTATAGTTTGGTCCGCATCACTCTTTTCCGAACGATCGCAATTACTTGTGGATGCATTTGAATGCGTGCATAACTGAATGCTTTAGTGTATATACTTGGTTAATACTTACGTACTGAACCTATAGTTACTGGTCGAGCCTTCAAATTTTAAAGGCTTGCAAGAAAAGAAGCATCAAGTGAACCTCTCCTTACTGCTTACCAACTAATGCCTGGGATTTCCGATTACTTTGATCTATGTACGTGAATATTTTTTAATAAATTTTGAAAAAAAAAAGAAAGATTGTAAAGCTCAGGTAGCTGTGCTAAATGTGGCCCGGCGGTCTTAAAGTGCATATCTCTAGTCCACAGGGTGCATTAGCAGAGATATAGTCGTTACCGGTGGATTTTTAAAATAGCTCTCTCTCTCTCTCTCTCTCTCTCTCTCTCTCTATCTCTCTCGCTCTCTTGCGCAATTCACCTGCATGTGGCTAAATATGGCCCGGCGGTCGCAAAATGCATACCTGTAGTCCACAGGGTGCATTAGCAGAGATATAGTCGTTAGCGGTGGATTTTTAAAATAGCTCTCTCTCTCGCTCTCTTTCTCTCTCTACCTCGCTCTCTCTCACTCTCTCCCTGGATCTCTTGCGCAATTCACCTGCATTCTCATTTTTTCTTCCTTTTTAATTACTATCAGGACGTAGACCCTACCGAAACCTTGTACCAATACCTTGAGGAACGCGAACTGCAACGTTTAAGCGAACGAAAATCAAGTGAGGCGGCTACCAAAATACAGGTACAGATATTCCTTTTTGTTACTTTCTACAGCTACACGAGTTGATCAATAATGAATAACGGGAATTAACGGGCTATTTGCAGGCATTCTTTCGCGGTTATATGGTCAGAAAGACTTTACGTGAATTGAGGCAAACGACGATGTGGTGGGTATGTGTAACGTTCACGCATATCAAAGAAGGTGTTTTTTCTTTTATTAAATAATTTAAGCAAACAAATCCTGAGGTACCTTGTTCGGATGAGCGAATCAAATCATTGTATGGTATGGAAAAACCTAAAATTCAGCAAACCTATTATGTCGATGTAAGCAAGTTAAAGGAAAATACAAGTATTTTTTTCTTCTTCTTCTTTTCTTACTTTACTGTTGCGCTTTTTGTATTTACTTAGGATGAATGTAAGTACAGCTCGAACGTATCAATGGCAGCGCGTTCAGCCCAGCAGTTTAAAACACGAGTTTCGCAGAAACAAAGACAACAAAGCGTTAGCACCTGGACATATCCAGATTCCATAGTGGTAAGTGATATTAACTTGAGAAAGTTTTTATGTGAATATTTTTTTTGATTTTTCTCGCCAGGAGCAAGAGGGCTTTGTAAAGCGGATATACAAAGCACCCTCTGAAACTATGATGGATACTTTTGGAAAATCGGAAGATCAAGAAGACTTTGAAAGTGACGACATATATAACGCTGCTATAGAAGACGATTTTCAATTTGTGACCTAAATTAATAAATAAAGCATAAAAACCCGCATAAATTCTAAAAAACAAAAAAAAAAAAAATAAATAAAAAAAATTTTAATTTGTTTATTATATATTTTCTATTAGGTTTGAGTGTAAGTTCGATCGTTTTGTTTTCTTTTTTTTTGGAATTTATTTCAATCCATTTTGTTTGCTTGCGATATAGGCACTCTAGTAACGAACTAACTAATATAGGGAAGAAGAAGAAAGAATTGCAGCATTATTTTTAATCAACCCGATGAGCTAAAGCGTTTTAAAATGGTTTTATATAAAAAGCTGCTGCTGTTGATAAGCACTGCTTAAAAGTTAGACAAACAAACAGTAGAACGGAGCATAAAAATGGTTTTAATTTTAAACGTTTTGTTCGCATTCTACCTCAGATCCACGTTCGGTGGCCTTGTTTGTAAGTCGCTAAGACGGACGGAAAGACGAAAGACGAAAATTATTTAATGTGTGCTTGATTGAAATTGATTTTGTTTTAGTGCAACGTTCAAATTCAACAAATCGCATCGTAGGCGGTGCTAGTGTACCCGCTGGCCGATATGTACCCTATCAGGTTTCCTTACAATACTTGACTAGAAATCGGGAATATCAACATTTCTGTGGAGGTTCAATTTTATCGGCAGATCGCGTACTAACCGCTGCCCATTGTTGTCAAGGTCTGAATCCGCAACGTATGTCTGTTCTGGCAGGCGTTAAAGACTTAAACGATTCCGAGAACGGTACACGTTCTCAAGTGATAAACTATGAAATTCATCCCAATTATGAGGAGTTAAGAACTAGCGACATTGCTTTAATAACTGTTCATCCACCTTTCGAGTTAAACGACGCTACCATAGCAGCTATAGAGATATATAATCAAGGCTTTGTGCCGGGTGACGTCAAAGTCACTTTAACCGGCTGGGGCTTACGTTTGCCGGTACAATTTCCTTTCCTACCGGACAGTGTTAATTATCCTAGCGTGCTGCAGACGATGACTTATACCACTATCACAAATCGCGAGTGCCGATATAAGGGAATTACCGATCTCACGGACACTGAAATATGCGCTGAAGGTTTTCCTTTTAAGGGCGCTTGCTTGGTATGCGAAAAAAATTGATTTGTGGCAGAAAATGTTTTTTGAAAATCCTCTCAAATTTTTGAATCAGGGCGACTCCGGAGGACCTTTGGTTACGTCCACGAGACACGGTATACAACAGGTTGGCATTGTCTCTTACGGCCTCTTCATATGCGGCGTTTTTGATGTACCCGATGTTTATACCAGAGTTTCGGAATTTAATCTTTGGCTAAGAGAGCGGATATCGTCGAGTAGTATAAAAAAATTGTAATAAAATGAGTACGAAATACGTAAATAATTGTTTTACTAAAACGAATACGTGTCACTCGAGCATTACTCTCTCCAACTGTTTCATGTTGAATGGTTTCCACTCTGTAACGACATTCGTACGCAAGAAAAAAAGAAGAAGAAAAAGAAAAGCGAAACATTAGAAAGGTCAAACGGTCATCGTAAGCGATTAATATTAAAGTACGTCGGATCAACTATCATCCTTGGATCTTTTCAATGGAAAGGAAATAAGTTCATTTCGTGTCCATCTCCATTCTTCGTTCCTTGCAATTAATCCTTTTTTTTCTGTCTTCCCGCAGGTGAACTTGGAGCCGTATGCAATAAGTGTTGGCTTTTAAAATTAAAATGACTTCACCTTTGATGGTTTTGGCAAATTTCTACCGGATTAAATTACTTCGATCCGCTATCATGCTACTAAGTAGTGGTTATAAAATATAATTCTTTTCTACGAATATGACCCGACGAATAAGTCTAAATGGGGTATTTGTCATGCACCGATATACGATGCATTAATAGTGTATGTGTCGCAGGAGAACATTGTTGTTGTAAGTGTAATTGTGGATTGATGCGTTTCAGTTTAAATCATATTCTGATAGTGTAGGGATCGATCAAGATCTGAACGTTAACATTAAGGGTACGAAGCCAACGTAAGATCTCGCTATGTAGCTTTCCTATCCATATATGGATCGCCAAAGGGCGTCGGTAGAAGGATTAACTAACAATGATCATGGGCCGTCTTTTGTGAATGATTTTAATACAACTGGAGCTCTGGGGAAAAGTTCATGCAGCGAAACAAAACTCTTAAAAACTGTAGCAACCATCGCGAGCGGTCAACATATTGATCAGGAACAGTCACCTCTTTGAAATGTCTAGTTACCAAATTTAGAATTGTGGACCAACAATAAATTAAATACGTCTAACTTGGGTAGGACTCCCTACAATTCGAAAAAACGTAATCGATGTTCATAAGAGAGGGAGAGAGAGAGAGAGAGAGAGAGAGAGAGAGAGAGAGGGATTAACATTTTGATATAAAGCTTTTCCGGACAAGCTTACATTATCTCGATAATAGGCTAACCTATACCAGTAGCAATGAAAAGTTCCAAAGGGGAGAGTGCTGAGCGCGGATCTGTTTCGCAATCGTTCGGAGCGCAAGATAGCTACAATGGTTCATCCATCTTGAAATTAAGTACAATATTCGTTTATTTCATTTATTCTCTATTCTTTAGTTGTTGAAAGATTCTTAAGCTGAATGCTGTGCGATCCAATCATGAAACATGGAAACACGCGTATAAACGTCGGGATTACTGGAGGCGCACAAAGCTGTGCCGTAAGAAACAATGCCAACTTGTTTAATTTTTCCGCCGTCTTGCATAACCAATGGACCACCGGAGTCACCCTAAATGAGAAGGCACACATAAGTGCTTATATAATGCCCTACTTATGGTAAAATTCTTATTTCACGACTTACGTTGCAAGCACCCTTTCCAAATCTTTCGAGAGCGCAAACTTCTGTGTCCGACACGCCCCGCATACGTTGCTTGCATTCGTCATTTGTTATGGTCGTATAAGGGAGTTTTTGCAAAACCGTAGGAAAACGAGCCAATGGAAAGGAACCGAAATGATGCACTGAACCCCAACCTGTGAGTGACACCTCTTGATTGCCACCGACTATTGATGAATCGTTAAAAAACAGTCTTTCACTGCGCTGACCATCTAGGTTGAGAGGCGGTTCAATGAACACCATTGCAATGTCGCTACTAACAAATTGTTCATAATTCTCATGTATAACATAGTCTTTCACCTCCGAACGTTGCCCGGTTTCATCTCTTAGATCGCGTATGCCGGCCACAACCGTTAAACGTTCCGGATTCTGTTCGTAGACGCAATGAGCTGCTGTTAAGACGCGTGTAGGCGATACAATTGACCCACCGCAAAAGTGACGATATTGATTGCGTGTGAAGTACTGCATCGAAACTTGATAGGGTACGTATTCATCGCTCGGTACATTAGAGCCGCCCACAATGCGCTCTTCAGCGTCTAGCTCGTCTAGCGCGTCGAAATAACTTTCCACTAAAAGGCAAAAGGCCATGAGCGAACCAACAGCATACTTTTCAATATATGAAGAGCGATCTACTTACAGTCCAAACGTGTTCCTTTCGGCTCAGCTTTAGTCCGGGTCGAGCACACGGAATATAGCAGGAGTACGCGTGTCACGAGCATTCTCCGAATACCCTAAACCCTAAATAAACAATTGAAATTAAGTTTTACATATCGTAGTAGTCAAGTTTTATAGGTTTCCAAGACAAGAGATATTACGTAATTTGTATGCAATTTCACGATGATACACATAAGTATCAGTTTAATTATGCAATACTTTAAATGCAATTCACTTAATTGGTTGTTCAAATTTGAAACTAGATAAGAACACCTTAGGTGGTATTGAAATCATCTAAAGCGACTCGAAATGATAGCAATAATCACAATAAGCCTTAACCCTGATGTCGATTGTCGATCGTAAGCACGAGACAATTAAATGCACAGATGCGCGCTACTGTTCTATTAACTTATTCGGCTTACAGGTCATACTTAAATTCAAATTGTTTAACGAGCTGCAGTCTTAGCATAACAACAAAAAGGAAAAAAATGAAAAAACACAACACAACACAACACAACACAACACAGACAGACAGAGAGACAGACAGACAGACATTGGCTACTGTAACCATAAAACCGCATGGCCGAAAAATAAATAAATCACTCAACGTAAATGCACCGGCAAATATAAAGTGAATATCACACAACAACCTGACATTTTATGGTTTTTATGGTTCGGTTCAAGCAAAATTGTTTGATAACCGTCAGCGATCATATGAAGTCGTTTTATTTATTGTTTTAACAGGCCACACGCATACGTTTTTGTTGTTCATTAGCAAGGCTTTGCCTTAATCTTTTCAGACTTTTTGAATGAGAACAAAATGTTGAAATAATCTTAAGTCCGTGTATACTTAATTCTTAGTTTGTACCTTAGCAGCAGCAGCAGTAGTAGTAGTAGTAGTAGTAGTAGTATTTTTTTATTTGCTTGTTTTAGCTTTTTTTTTTGTTTTTTTTTATTTTTTTCTTGGATTAACTGGAAGAGAGAGAGACAGAGTAAAGAAGATCGTCACTTAGATATTTATGAGCTGATAGCAAAATTTGTTTGAACTGCTGTGAGGCGGCAAAACATTTAAAGTAAACCATAAAACTCTGTCCGTTGGCAGTCAAGTTTGGAAGGATTTTCTGCACTTTGTTGATGTGTTGATCAAAATGATTAAAATGTATTTTATTACCAAAAACGAACCTCAAGCAACCCATCCCATCATGAGAAGTATGACAAACACCAGTCATCCTCTGGTGTATTGTGTCTGTGTCTGTGCGCCAGTGATTTTTTTCCCCCTCTATATCGCTGCTGATATCACAATCAGTATTTAATTTTTTTTTTTTTTTTGCTTTTTAGTTTCTGCTTTTATATAAAGCTTGCCAGCACAGGAGGTAGGTAAGTTGATAAAAGTGTTGTTCGTTGTTTTTATTTCCATTTCAATTCTCCTTTCTTTTTGGTATTGTTCGTTTCGTTTTGTTTTAGAAACAGCATGAAAATTTCACAGTAATAAAGTTATCGGTTCTCCTTTGCGAATTCCTTGAATTGAGTTCTTCTTGAAGTTCTTCTTGAAGAGTGCACACGATCACATAAGGAGGTGCGATGAATTTTGCTTAACGTTTCTTTTTGTTTTTTTTTTTTTTTTTTTTTGGTTTTTTATTCTTCATTACTTACTTCATTAGACGATGATAAAGTATTTTTGAATGATTTGAAAAACAACTAAGCAAATTATATTTGATTTAGTTCGAATCTTATTTACCCTTTACGCGATCGCATTGCTAATCACAAAATTGATTTATTAATAAATTTTTTACTTATCGCATAAGTACAAGCACTAGGTAAGTGTATTAAGTACTTAAGAATATAAAAGCATCTAAAGTATCTAAAAGTGTAGTATTCCTTATCGAAATCTATAATATATCTTAGCTTAAATAAACGAATAAAAAACAGTTTTGTATAACATAGTTTTGAGGAACCTCTGTAGATAGGTATTATAGTACATAAGTATATAATTAAATAATTAAATACCCAAGTATATAAGTATATTATTCAATAATTATGTAAGTAAGGTAAGGTAACCATATAATGTAAACGATTTAGATAAGAAATTAAGTACATGATCGTATAATGATATAAAAATATATAAATGTTGGCATATACATAACTATATATATATATAAGTGAATAGATAAGTGTTTAAGTATATAAGATCATAGCCTTATTCATATAAATAAATAAGTATTTAACTACAATTACAACTTGTGTATAAGTACAAGTCCCACATATTTAATGGGGACTTTGTAAAGCAACTGCGTAAATAAGCGCCCAAGTAAATAAGTGTGTAAATACACAATCATATAAATACATAAGTGCCCAACCAAGTATTTAGGAACATAAGTATATAAGAAAGTAAAGAATTTGTAAGTGTGTAAATACATAAGCGTATTAGAATATAAACATATTAGGGGATATAAGTGTTTAAATAAAAATATACAGATATGCAAGTATTTAATTATATTTTGGTATGTAAATAGATAAATAAATGCTAAGTACATACATAGTATGCGTGTAAGACTTTCTTCATACTTTTTTTCCCCGCTTCCAGCGCCATATGTCCTGCAATAATCAGGAACAGTAAAGAATACCTTTAATCGCGAATACATTCAGCCGATCCATCCCGGAATGTTCATTTTTTACTTCATATATATTACTTATATAAAAACGGAGCACTACACGATTAAGTAACCCATTTTTATTATCGTTGGTCATGCTTCGTTGAAAGCGAGGCGGGTCAAGGTATGATAACTCAGCTCTTTCGGCTTAAATTCAATGATATCGATGTGGATGAAAAGGGGATTCAACAAGGGGATGCCCATACATCTGGTCAGTTAGTCAGTCCGTCATTCAGTCTGTCCTTAGGTCCGTCAGTTAGTCAGTCAGACAGTCTGCTGGTCAGTTTGTTTGTCTGTCAGTCAGTCAATCAGTCTGCCAGTCAGTCTGTCAGTCAGTCAGTCAGTCAGTCTGCCAGTCAGTCTGTCAGTCAATCTGTCTGTCCGTCCAATTCAATTATTGCTTGAGATATGCCCCCTTGGAAGCTATTTGCCCTCTCTTGCGCTATTCCATACATAAGAGAGTCCTAAAGACATGATGACCCAAAAGGAAAATTACAATTAAAAGGGAAACTAACTCTCGTTTTGTATTTAATTTAAATTTTCAGTTTTGGGACATCCTACATTATCTTGTTTTGTTCGGCTTAAATTCAAATATCGACTATCATTGATGTTTCAATGTCGGGAATGAAAAAATTTCTTCTAGTTCACGAACGGAATCAGAGACTAAGCCAAGTTTGTGATCTTGCTTGTTATGATTGCCGAGTATCGCTGACGATAATCGACATCGTGTTTTAAGCGACCTTATGATAATGTCTCACTGGGATTTGACAAAAAAAAAAGAAGCATATCGCGATGGTAAGGTCAAGGGGAATGTGATGGGCATCTTCATTATGAGAAGAGAGTCTCAACAGTATTCAACTCCTCCTCTCCTTTACCGATCTTTGCTATCTTCACTTTAAAAGGTCGCATCGTTTCATGTTGTAAATGAAAAAATGGATTTCTTCCCCGGTGGGACTTTCAAATGAAAATCCTTTTCCCATATAACTCGGACAAATTTACTGAGAGCATTCTTTGTCGAATGATGGTCAAGTCAAGCAAATAACAGAAAACACATAGGCTTTTCAAGTTTCGTCGGTTTGGCAGTCTCCAAGAAAACATTGCAATGTTTTTTAACTAACAACCGAACTTTCTACGTCACAAGGCATGTTGTTTGTAAACCAATCCAATTTTGTTGAGCGATCGATACAAGCGAATTTTTGCATGGACTGCAGAGTAAAACCCAGAAATATCGTGAGAAAATTGCGAAGAATTGAGAAACGTAGCTCAAGGGTTTATTGAAAACTTCCTTTTGATCGCTTCTAAACTGGAAAGTCGTGATAATCTGGGCGAAGTATAAAAAGTACAATCTATTATAGTTCTTCACGACTTTGGCTGTCTTCACTTGACTTAAGGTAAACGAAAAAAGTGATTGTTGACGGAATAGTAAGCATGCGTTCGTTTTACTTAGGGAATAATAGGAAATTTCTACAGATTTTTTTTATTCTTACAGCGGATACGATAGGTAAAAGAGTCGGAAAGAGAAAGAGGGGCAGAAAGATAGAGAGAAATATCTTATAGAAGGAAAAACAAGAAGAATATTGTGCGGGTGTCGAAAGGTTGCCGATTGCCGGTTGCCGGCTGCCTACTGTGCCGCATCGCTGTGCTGATGGTATTGGTTGATTGGTTCGTTGGTTCGTTGGTTGGTTCGTTGGCTGACTGTTAAGCAATCACCTTATGACGGCATATTCACCTCCGATGACTGATCAAATTTAGGCGATTTGAGTGCGCAAACGTACGCCAACAGAAAAAAAAAATGTTCGCGTTGTAACATTTACTACGAGCCGTGAAACGTTGTCAAGTATTATGAACTCTGTGTAGGGACTGTAGAAACGATCAACAAAAAAAAAAAAAACGAAAGACAACGAAAAAAAAAAAATGAGTTGTGATGTTGTGAAATCAAGAAGATATTATAACGGAGGTGTGATGTGTTCACAGAAAACAAGGGGCAAAAGAGTCCAAAAAGTTGGGTGGGCCAATTAAACAAAAATGTTACAAAACAATGTTGACATTTCAGCAGGCGCCCATGCACAAAATTCAATTTCCAGCGCGACAGGAAATTGAAGTGCAGACAGTAGACACCAACATCAAGAACAACAACAACAACAGCAGCAGTGGCAGCAGCAGCAGCAGCAGCAGCAACAATTACGAAAATGACTGATGAGGAATGAACTTAAATGAAGCCATTTCACGGTGTTGCCGGCCGCCCAACAGAAGCAGCAGAGGGAATAGCAACAATTAACACCGTAGTGTGGCAAAGATCGAAACCTTTTTTAGTTGCCTGGTAAAACAACAGTAACAATAACAATAACGAAGCAGAAGGTGTGCATAATTAATTCGCCAGAGCAGACAAATCAAATTGTTGTCTTTTTCGGTTCTGGGCCACACTCGGTAGTCGATCTTGTTTTAACTGTTGGAAAAAATGAATGAAATAATCAAAGCAAAAAAAAAAAATAAAATGATTCATTAATCTTTGTATATGTATGCGTATACATATACATATGTATATATAGATAACTGGCTAAGTCAATACTGCCAATGCTGCCGC